AGAGCAGCATGTTCAAAGAGTAATGCACCACGCTTGAGGGATGGATACTCCATTCTCCATGATGTGATTATTAGGACCTAGTATTTGATAGCACAACAGGATGACTACAGTCAAAATAATTTAATTGTACATTTAAAAATAACTGAAAGAGTGTAATTGGATTGTTTGTAGCACAAAGGATAAGTGCTTGAGGGGATGGATGCCCCATTTACCATTATGTGATTATTATGCATTGTATACCTATATTAAAGCATTTCACGTACCCCATAAATACATATACCTATCATGTACCCACAAAAATTAGAAAATAAATTTTTAAAAAGAATAATATACCACAAGCAGTTAATGTAAGGAGAGTTAAATATTAAGAAATCTCTTAATTTGTTATAAAAGCTGCCCTCAGTTCTCTGTCACGTTGCCCTGTCTCTAGGCAGTTCACTACACTGCAGCTTGTTTCTTCATGGAACAAAGGGAGAATGTTTCTCCTTGAAAGATGGAGTCATGTATAAACTAACATAATCATGGGAGTTCATCACCTTTGCCACATTCTCTTGGTTAGAAGCAAGCCATAGTCCCCACCTACACTGAAAGGTATGACCAGGATATTGGGATGTTGGGGGCCACCTTAGAATCTGTCTGCCATAGCATGGATATACAAATTTGGTGAGCCATTCATTTGTTGGAAGATATTTGGCACATTTACAGGTTTTGGAAATTACAAATGAATCAGCTATAAGCATTTACGTACAGATTTTTGTGTGAGCACAGATTTTCATTTTTCTAGAGCAAATTCCTAGAGCAAAGATTTGTGTCATATGGTTCCCATTAAAAACTCTCATCAAACTTAAAAGGGAACTCCTAAATCTGATGAAGAGCATCTACAAAAATCCTACAGCTGTCATACTCGAAGGTGAAAGCCTGAATGCTTTTCACTCTTAGATCAAGAACAAGACACATAGAGGGGAACAACACACACTGAGGCCTATCAGAGGGTTGAGGGTGGGAGGAGGCAGAGGATCAGGAAAAATAACTAACGGCTAATAAGCTTAATACCTGGGTGATGAAATAATCTGTACAACAAACTCCTATGACACAAGTTTAACTATGTTAACAACCTGCACTTGTACCCCTGAACTTGAAAGTTAAAAAAGACGAACAAAACAAGTACATATGCCCACTCTCATCACTTTAGTGCAGTATCGTACTGGAGATTCTAGACAGTGCAATGAGGGCAAAGAAAATAAGGAAAGGAAAAAGTAATAAAAGGCATCTAGATTGGACAGGGCAAAGGCAGACTTTTGTTATTCATACACACTAGGATCGTGCATATAGAAAACAGATTTTCTAAGATCAACAAAAAGTACTAGAACTAAGAAGCGAGTTTAGCAAGGTTGCAGGACATAGGCGAATATACAAAAATCAATTGTATTCCTAGTAACGAACAAGAGAAATTTGAGCTAGAATTTTAAACACCATAAAAACGTAAAAAATGTTAGGGTTAAATATGACAAAAGAGATGAGACTTGTACCCTGAAAACTACAGAACATTCCTGACATATATTACAAAATATCTGAGTAATGCAGAGATATATTCATGGACTGGAAGATTTAATGTTGTTAGTATATCAATCCTCCCAAAAATTGATATATAGATTCAAAGTCCCACTGAGTGTTTTAACATATAAAAAACAACTAATTGCTTCTAAAATTCGTAGGGAAATGCAAAAAAAATATATATATATATTAGCAAAAACAACTTTGAAATAGAAAAAATAAGTTGGAGGACTGATAATATTTGATTTCAAGATTTATAATAAAGCTACTGCAATTAAGACAATGTGATATTGTTATCAAAATAGACAAATATAGTCATCCCTTAGTATTTACAAGGGATTGGTTCCAGGATCCTTGCAAATACCAAAATCTGAGGACGCTCAACTCCCTTATATAAAATGGTATAATATTTGCGTATAACCTATGTATATCCTCCCATATGCTTTAAATCATATCTAGATTACTTATAATACCTAATACAATACAAATTCTATGTAAATAGTTGTTACCTCATATTTTTAATTGTACTCTTTTTCTTATTTTTACTTTTATTTCAATAGTTTCTGAGGTACAGGTGGTTTTTTGTTACATGGATAAGTTCTTTAGTGGTGATTTCTGAGATTTTAGTGCACCTGTCACCCAAACAGTGTACACTGTACCCAATATGTAGTCTTTTATCCCTCACTCCCCTCCCATCCTTCCCCCCTGGATCACCAAAGTCCATTGTATCAATCTTATGCCTTTGCATCCTCATAGTTTAACTCGACTTCTAAGTGACAACATACAATATTCGCTTTTCCATTCCTGAGTTAACTTCACCTAGAAAAATGGCCTCCAGCTCTATCCAAGTCGCTGAAAAAGACATTATTTAATTCCTTCTTATGGCTGAGTAGTAGTACATGTTGTATATATACCACATTGTCTTTATCCACTCGTTGGTTGATGGGCACTTAGGTTGGTTCCATATCTTTGCAATTGTGAATTGTGCTGCTATAAACATGCATGTGCATGTGTCTTTTTCACAGAGTGACTTATTTTTCTTTCCTTATTTCCCAGTAGTGGGATTGCTGGATTGAATGGTAGTTCTACTTTTCGTTCTTTAAGGAATCTCCGTACTGTTTTCCACACTGGTTGTACTAATTTACATTCCCACCAGCCGTGTAAAAATGCTCCCTTTTCCCCACATCCATGCCAACATCCATTTTTTTTAGACTTTTAAATTATGGCCATTCTTGCAGGAGTAAGGCGGTATCTCACTGTGGTTTTAATTTGCAGTTCCCTGATAATTATGTTATCTTCTAGAATTAGTGATGTTAAGCATATTTTCATGTTTGCTGGCTGTTTGTGTATCTTCTTTTGAGAAATGTCTATTCATGTCATTCGCCCACTTTTTGATGGGATTTTTTTTTTCTTGCTGATTTTTTTTTTAGTTCCTTGTAGATTCTGGATATTAGTCCTTTGTTGAATGCATAGTTTGTTAATACTGTCTGTCTACTCTGCTGATTATTTCTTTTGCTGTACAGCAGATTTTAGTTTAATTAGGTCCCATTTATTTATTTTTATTTTTGTTGCATTTGCTTTTGGGGTCTTGGTCATGAATTATCTGCCTAAGCCAATATCCAGAAGAGTTTTTATGTTATCTTCTAGAATTTTTATCGTTTCAGGTCTAAGGTTTAAGCCTTTGCTCCACCTTGTTGAATTTTTTTTATAGGGCGAAAGATGGGGATCCAGTTTCATTCTTCTACATGTGTCTTGACAGTTTTCCCAGTACCATTTATTGAATAGGATGTCCTTTCCCCAAATTATGTTTTTGTATGCTTTTTTAAAGATATGTTGGTTGTGTTTGGCTTTATTTCTGGGTTCTCCATTCTGTTCCATTGGTCTAAATGCCTATTTTTATACCAGTACCATGCTGTTTTGGTAACTATAGCCTTGTAGCATAACTTGAAGTCAGTAACTGCGATGCCTCCAGATTTGTTCTTTTTGCTTAGTATGACTTTTGCTATGTGGGTGCTTTTTATTGGTTCCATATGAAATTTAAGATTGTTTTTTGTACTTCTGTGAAGAATGATGATGGTATTTTGATGGTAAATGCATTTAATTTGTAGATTGCTTTGGGCAGTATGGTCATTTTCACAATATTGATTCTTCCCATCCATGAGCATGGGGTGTGTTTCCATTTGTGTCATCTATGATTTCTCTCAGCAGTGTTTTGTAGTTCTCCTTGTAAATATATTCCACCTTTTTCATTAAGTACATTCCTAAGTATTTTTATTGAAGTTGTTATAAAAGGGATTGAGTTCTTAATTTGATTCTCAGCTTGGTCATTATTGATGTATAGCAGCAAAAATCCTCAGTAAAATACTAGCTAACTGAATGCAACAGCATATCAAAAAGATAATATGTTATGATCAAGTGGGTTTCATACCAGGGATACAGGGATGGTTTAATATATGCAAATCAATAAATGTACTATATTTATTGGAAGTCAAACTATTGTTGTTCACTAATGATATGATTCTATACCTAGAAAATCCTAAAGACTCATCCAAAAAGCTCCTAGATCTGATAAATAAATTCAATATAGTCTCGGGATACAAAATCAATGTATACAAATTATTTTTTATTATTTTTTTCCAGAATATTTTGATCAGCCGTTGGTTGAATCTGCAGATGCAGAACCCATGGATATAGAGGGCCAACTGTAGATGAATAGAATTGGATATGTAATTCAGAAATAGACCCACACATATATGGATAGCTGATTTTTGTAAAGTTTTGTAAAGGCAATTCAGTGGAAAAGGGGTAATCTTTTCAAAATGATGCAGGAAAAGTTGAATATTCATTTACAAAAAAATTAATTTGATCTATATCTCATACCACATGCAAAAATTAACTCAAAAAGGTTAATAGACCTAATGGTAAAACCTAAAATTATAAAGCTCCTAGAAGAAAACAGGAAAAAAAACCTTTTGAAACCTTGGATTAGACAAAGATTTCTTAGCTATCACAACAAAAGCACAATTCTCATAAGCAAAATTTGGTAAATTGGACTTCATCATATTAAAAAGCATGTGCTCTTCAAAAGACAATGTTAAGAGAATGAACAGAGAAGGCACAGGCTGGAAGAAAATATTTGTAAATGGCATATATAATGAAGATTTGAATACAGGATACATATAGAACTCTCAAAACAACAATGTAAATGTCAACAACCTGATTTAAAATGGAAAAAATATCTGAAGAGACACTTCACTAAAAAGGATAAATGTATGACAAATAAGCAACAAAAAAGATGTTCAGGGACATACGAATTTTATGTTTCTTAATAGTAGGAAGTAAAATCAGTCAAATGCATTTTCTGTGTCTATGTGTGTTCTGTGTTTTCTAATTTATGCAGTTAGGGAATTGCAAATTAAAACCACAATCACACCTATTAGAATGGCTGAAGTAAAAAAGAAAACCAACAAATGAAGAACCCAGAACAAAACAAAACCTGACGATACTGAGCGTAAATGAGTTTGCACAGCAACTTAATCTTTCATATATTGCCAGTGGGAATACAGAATGTTAGCAACTTGGGAAAACATATTTGGGAAACAAGTTTCTTTCATCCAATTTTACACACTATAATTCCTCCTCCACTGAGATGACCACTATTCTGAATTCTATAAGCATTTAGCTTTGCCTATTTTTAACACTGATATAAAGTGAAATCCTAAAGTATATACAAATTTTGTGCCTCACAACTTCTATTCAGTGTAACATCTGTAGCACTCCTCCATATTGCTGTGTGTACTAATACAGAGTTCCATTGTATGACTATGCCATAATTTATTTATCCATTTGCCTAATCTAGTAAAATATAAAAATAATAATATGCCATGATTAAATGAAATTATCCCAGCAATGCAATGTTGTTTTATGAATCAAAAATCAATTATAACTTACTGTACTAACTAAAAGGAACTGTAGCAGACAAAATGGCAATCCCCCAAAGATGTGTGTGTCCTAATTTCCAGAACCTGAAAATATAAAGCAAGAAGGAATTAAAGCTACAGACAGAACAAAAGTTGCTAATCAGTTACACTGAAAATATGAAGATTATCATCGATTATCTAATCATATGAACTCTTAAAAGTGTAAGATGAAGGCAAAGAGGATTAGAAAGAAGCCACATGAGAAAAATTTGACACCCACTATTGCTGACTTTGAAGAGGAAGAAGGTGGCAATGAGCCAGTAAATATGGCATCCTCTACAAGCTGGGAATGGCCCTCATATTACAGAGCAAGAACACAGTACCTCAGTCCCACAACCACAAGGAACTGAATTCTGCAAATAGTCTAAATGAACGGAAAAGAACTTATTTCATAGAATCTCCAGAAAGGAACATAGCCTCCCAATACCATGACTTTGGTCTAGTATGACCTATATGGAACTTCTGACCTACAAAACAATAAGATGATAAATTTCTGTTGTTTTAAACCACTAGATTTGTGGTAATTCATTAAGACAGCAACAAAAAGCTAACACAAAGAGAAAATCCATAGGACACATCAATAGACACAGAAAATGCATTTGACTGATTTCATTTCCTACTATTAAGAAATAGATAAAATTCATGGAGGGTATCTTGTAATTTGGAGGAAAGATATATCACATTTAGTTGTACTAGTAGGACACTTTTACTGAAAGGCCTGTATGGATGTTTCACAAATATGCATGCTACTCTGCTCATCAGGACTTACATAACCTAGTCAACCCAACTGCGTTGAAAGTATCTATGGCAAACAAGTGATCAAGGTACACATAATCAATAACAAAATATACTACATCATGAACACCTTGATTTGATAAACTAACACACAAAATCTTTGCTGTAGTATACCTGGCAAAAATAACTCATTCTAATCATGAGAAAACATCAGAGGAAAGCAAATCTAGGGGCATTTAAAAAAATTGTTGACCAATAATTTTCAAAAGTGTCAAAGCCGAGGATTTGCAAAGGAACACGGAAGGGCAGATAGCATGGGACAAGGGATAGATATACCAGGCTGACTACTCAGCTTTAAAGAATTTCTAGGCTTTGCTCTCCAAGCACAATGGGCTTAGACCTCACCAAAAAAATCTTCACTCCCCACCCACCTAGAAAGACTTCGCCCCACCCCTACGGTGCGACCCCGCCTCCTCGACCAGTTAAGCCAGTCACCACATTTCCCACCACCTGCTCCGCTGGGTGCCCCGGGACTCCCTGGCGCACTACTGACCTCAAGGCCTTCTGGGCAGAGCTTGCCAAAGAAGCTGGGCCCTTCCCATGGCTCCGCCCATATCCCGGCTCCTCCTCCCCCGACCTGCACTTCCCGCGACGCCCCGGTGCAGCCCCCCCGCCAAGCCCAGCGCAGCTCAGCTAAGCTCAGCCGAGCGAGCGCGGCGCGATGGACGGTCGGGTGCAACTGATGAAGGCCCTCCTGGCCCGGCCCCTCCGGCCCGCGGCGCGTCGCTGGAGGAACCCGATTCCTTTTCCCGAGACGTTTGATGGCGATACCGACCGGCTCCCGGAGTTCATCGTGCAGACGGGTTCCTACATGTTCGTGGACGAGAACACGTTCTCCAACGACGCCCTGAAGGTGACGTTCCTCATCACCCGCCTCACGGGGCCCGCCCTGCAGTGGGTGATCCCCTACATCAAGAAGGAGAGCCCCCTACTCAGTGATTACCGGGGCTTCCTGGCCGAGATGAAGCGGGTCTTTGGATGGGAGGAGGACGAGGACTTCTAGGCCGGGAGACCCTCGGGCCTAGGGGCGGGTGCTCTGGGGAGGGTCCGCTGTGCCAGTGGCCACCGCCAGGGTCTCTACAGGCGCCCTCCCTCCGCGCCTCTCTCCCTCTCGAGTGTCCCCTGCGCTCCTGTCCCCTCCCGCTCCTGTCCCCTCCCGCGTAGTGCTTGCCTTTGTTCCAGGAATAGCGTTCCAGGCTCCTGCTGCCGCCCCTGGGCCTCACTCTGGAGCGGGCTGCCTCCACCCTCTCGTGCCAGCCCAGCCCTTCCCATGCACATTTGGACGCCGTCCTGCGCTCCAGCTGCACAAAGCTGGGCTCCTGTTACACACTGGACAGCCCACACACAGCCGTGGCTGTCAACCCCCCTCCACTCCTCCAGACTGCCAGCCGAGTACATCATTCTGCCCACAAACCTACGCTACCACTGCCATCGCCGTCCACCGCATCTCATCAACAGACTGCCGCTCCTAGTGATCTGGACTCACCTCAGAGGTCTCTGAGCTGGACACAGCCCCTGGACAGTGATCCAGACAGCTGGCCGCCCCCCAAGGAGCCTGTCACCTTCAGCAAGACCCATTTCCTCCCCATCCCCAGAGACCTCTTGTGTTCCTGCCACATAGCTGCCAGGGCTTAGGTGTGCCTGGCAACCAAATGGAATCTCTCATTTTCTCCTGTGGACCAGTTAGTTTTGCCTAGAATCCTGTTTTCTTCTGAATTTGCAGCTGTCTCTCTGATGTGTGCCTTTTGTTCAACACAGTAAGCCCTGCTCCCTGCCCTGCTCTAATACACTACCTGTACAAGGTCTTTTCCTTATTTTAATAAATGTCAGACACTATTAAATAGAAATGGAGTCTCAATGAATATGGCACCTTTCCCTCCCTGGTTCTGTAAATAGGGTCCCTATCTTGTTCAAACGCTATGTGCCCTGCCATGCTATGACTGAAGTTGACTCTTGCATTATAAAAACAAAAGATTGAGTCCTGTGGAGTGTCCTAGGGATGGAGATCTTACAGGCAACCATCTAATGCCAAATGATGACCCTTCTAAA